CACCACTGCGCAGTCATTCGCCATCCATATAGATACATATTTAAACACAAAACGCCCCGTCTAAAACCAGCTGTGTGGTTTATTTTTTAAAGTGCTTGAGTTGTTTTTAGAAACAGGAGAGACCAAATGGAAATGCAAAATGTGAATTTTGCTTAATAGGTCCCCTTTCAGATATGATGCACTACAAAGCACAAAATCTTATTATTTTTTGTCTAGTTTCTAGTAGAAATATCTTAGTACACTTAAAATAAAGCGAAGCTGACTTGCAAGCATTTAACAGACTCCGTTTTTTTTAAATGCAAACTTACTCATGAATTCACAGATTGCTCTTCTGTGTATTGCTTCTAAATAGGGCTTTTGTAACATTCTATTGCGTACAACATGTCTCAGTATTTGCTTAAAATGCAAACTCCAGGCTTGTATCCTTTATTAAAGGAAAAGTTGGAGTTTTTTTAAGCTGGATGTGATGCTGCATCCCGCTTAAAATACTCTCCGAGTATCGGAGGAAAGCTGCAGATGAGTGTAGGAATGAAAGTTATTTTTAGCTGTCTGTTATCTATCAGGTACTATGATGGCATTTAGATATATTTTAATATATTATTATATTCATATTCCCACTTCCCATTTCAACCCCATGGGAGGATGGGAAGCTCTAGAGGTGAAATGAGGAAAATTTCGCCACAAAAAGCCCCAGGTGTATTTTAAGGCATTTTGGCCTACTTTGCTTATGCGCCACCTTTTAGTCCTGCTGCACAACATTGCCGTTGTCAGCAGTCGCTTATGCAAACTATAGTTGTTAAGCTCACAGAGCTGTTAGTCTATCCACAACTTTGACTAAGCAAATGAGAGACTGCTTGGTGTAACCTCTAAAGTACAGAGACGCACATTGCTACAAACCAAACATGTAAATCTTCATCAGAGCTTTTTTCTCTCCATGCAAGGGTCCAAAAGGCCCTGGCGAGTCAATCGGCCCCAGAGTCGTAGTGATTGATGAGTCCAGACAGGGTTGGGGTTCACCACAGACACACAAACCACACACACCTCGCACCAAAGATAAGCAAATGGTCTGCAAGCTGCCAATGGTCCTAAGTGCTCTGCAAACAGAGGTAACACTGGTCTCATTTCAGAAGTGCTATTGCTTAACCGCAACTGGCCAAAAAAAAAAAAAATGGATAAAGAAAACAGAGAGATGGAGGATAACAAGGAAAGACGTCGGTCTGCTTTCATCATCAAAAACTCAGGCAAAGGCACAAAGAATCAGCTGGAAACCAGATTTTCTCTTAAAATCCAATTAATCTGCTGCTGACCAAGTCAACGTTTATGTTCACACATGAAAATGGCTGCAAACAGATGCGCAATTATATAACTGTACATCTTTGAAAAGCAGAAATGGAGCCTCCTGCACAACCAACAACAATGCAGCAAGTTGTTTCTAGATGATTGTCGACAACAAAACACTTGTTTCCAGCAGCCATTTTACGGTGCATGCAGCGGTAAAACCAGCTGACCAAATGTTCTGGAGTTCTGCATGAGTTGCTAGGGGACACAGTTGACACTTTTAAAGTGTCTTTATTTACAGAATGAGACTTTATGTCGACAGTAGGAGATGTTCATGAAGACTCCTTCATGTTCCTAACGGGTGTCATGTTTATGGCAGCGTGTCCCTTCAAATAAAACGTTACTGATCAACTTAAACTCAATTGTTTCAAGTAAAGTCAAAGTAAAAGTTCCTTTAAGTTAAAGATTTGTAACTTTTGAGTTAATTGAACACAAAGTAAGCTGTCATCATTAAACCAAAAGAATTAAGTGAAGTTACTGTAAATAAGTCCATGATATGAACTTATTTACAGTTTAAAATACAGTTTTTAGAGTGGATAAAGTGAGTCAGGCCTGCAGTGTGTTGCTCAGCACCCACTGATAAACCTCGACTTCATCTTCTGGAGCAAAAGACTGGAGCAGGGAGATGAAAGGAGCATCCACAGCAGGCCCAATCTCCAGCCTAACCCCTCCGCCACCTCCATCCATCACAATCAACGCCAGCAGCCAGCCCAATTAGGCCCCCGGAACACTGAGGGCCACAGCTTGATTGTTAACACTGTGAAAACAACAAGAGCGGCCGGGTGATGATGGGACACGGAGGACCGAGGCTGGGGGATGGAGGCCTGATAACCGGCGGCCCATTTCCTCTCTAATGGGCTCCAAACGAGGGAACATGAGGGAATGTGGCCCTGCAACGCAGGTGACCCGGAGGAGAGATGAGGGCAGCCACACCTACTGTTAACACACACACACACACATGCATACACACACAGGGGCCATTAGCAGGGAGAAATGATCAGCGGTGCATGATCATAATTATGCATGCAAGGCTTGCAGAAAGGACACACCATGGAAAGCTATAAACATAAATTATAGGCTCAAGTTTGCCAAGTAAAGGTTAAGTTTGAACATGAACATGTAAGAGACACACAAAAACACGTGGCGTCATTTCCAGGCAGCAGTATGATGGCCGTCCAGCAGTTCAGCCAACATTACTCACTGATTTCTTTCACTCAACTTACTGAAAAGCCGTCAAACATTTGGCTCCTAGCTGCTCGTTAAGACTTCAGTCTTCAGAGGATTTAACCAGGATTCGGGAATCGGTTACATCATTTTGTGAGAGAAGTTGTCCCTCATTTTATTCTGCAACATGCAAACACAAGTAAGAAACACGACTGTTAACTAAAAGTAAATCTAACAGCTTTTGCGCAGTTGTTGACTGAAAAAGGTGCCAATAATTGAGAGGAAAAAGGCTCAAAATAGAAATAAAGCAACTAGGAACTTTTAATTAAAATCCATGAACCACTATTTCCCTGGAGTGAAATTGTTTTGGCTACTCAACTGGAAAGACAAGAAAACATCCAATTTGAGTCAAACTAATGCATGGGCAATGCTAACATTTTAGCATTTTTAGCTGCAGCAGTTCATCCATATGGTAGCACCATACAGGTCAGTCTTCACTCCCCATGTTCACCAGTGACTTTGTGAACAGTTCACCACTGTTTCATTTCCTCGCATGTGAAAATGGCTGAAAACGGATGCAAAATAATACAACTGCTCATCTTTGAGAAGCAGAAGTGGAGCCTCCTGCTCAACCAACAAGAATGAAGCAAGTGGTTTCTGAATAGTAAGTGAACAACAAAACACTTGTCTTTTCCAGAAGCCATTGTACAGATGCTGGAGCTCAGCTTCGGTTGCTAGGTAACGGGCTGGGCTTCAGTTGCTAGGTAAAGACGCAGTGCGCCGCGACAAACGGGAGGTTTTTGAAACTGCTTATTTTTTCCAGACACCAAACAAACTAAAAATTTTGGCAAGAAAAACCTGGGTGGCTTTTTTTTTGTGTGTTTGTTTTTTTTTGTTTGTTTGTTTTTTTTTAGTATTTGGACCGGTTTTAGAAGTAGTTTAGGCCCAAATGGAAGTACAAAAAAAACAAAACAATTACTGAAAAACTAATGAAAAATATTATTTATATGAATATGAATAAAAATATAAAATAAGAAATAAAAACAAAATAAAAATATGAATAAAAACATGGATTTGGCGTAATAGATCCCATTTAAAGTATATTTTCTAAAAATTAGTGAAGTAATTGAGTAACTAATGGGTTAATGCAAGAAACTCACCTCTACATTTAAAAGCTTGAAGCAACTGGAGCTGCCCTCATGCAGACCTCTGTCTACAACTAAAGAGCCAACAAAAGGCATGAAAAGAAAGATCCAACAACAATGCACTATGGGAAAAAAACAGCATGGTAAATGCAGGCTTATCTGCTGGGAAGCCTTGAGTTCACCCGTCCATATGTACGTAACTCGCCACCTACCACCTCGCATTGTTGAAGAACATATACAAGATCTCCCCTGCTGGCTGCAGCCTCTGTCAGCAGGATAATGAGTCCCGCCACAAACCCAAACAGGTTCAGGAGCGGTTTCAGGAGGAGTCGCTTTGAGGTTTTGAACAGGCCTCCAAATTATCCATGTGGGTGACAAACGAGAACAATCCACCGAGATCTCACCTCACAAGCTACAAGACTTAAAGGATCTGCCGCTGACGTCTTGATGCCAGACACCGCAGCTTGCTCAGAGTCTCATGGAGTCCATGCTTTGATTGGACCAGAGCTGCTTTAGGCAGGTGGTCATAATGTTGGTGTACGCAAACAGAAGTCACATGTGGGATACCCCAAGGTTCAATCCTGGGATCTCTCCTATATCCAAGCTTGATTGGGGTCAAGAAGTACTTAATATTTGTGAAAAATGCTGGGTCCACTTGCAGATTATTTCAAGACATTTTTACCATGTTAGAACTAAAATATTGACTTATATGTTGCAAAACAGTTACTTGTAAGTCAGTTTTGTCTTATTTCAAGCCTTCACTGGAAACCAAAAGTATTTGGTGAGATTTTGTGTTTTGCAGTGGAGCCTCAGATCCACTCTGTGTTCTGGTGGGTTCTGTTGAAGCGGGATGCATGAGTGGTGACAACCTGCTCTCTGCTTAGCTCATTGACTGAGTCAAGGTCTGTTTTGCATCGTTTTTCTCTCACGTACCGGCTCTAAGTGCCAAGGCGCTGAGCAAAACCTCCTGTTCCTACAAGATCTGGTAATTTAACCACACTTCATTTGGATTAGCCAGAGGGACCAACTGAGCGCTGCCTCTTCTTCTTTTTTTCTGCTTTCGGTGAGTGTCGGTTGATGGGATCTAATATGTCTGTATCTGGATAAACACATCAGTTGGTCAGCAAACTGAAGATGGTCTGGATGTGTTTATTTAGATTTTCCTGCCTGCTTGTGTGAGTCATATGTAATGCCAAACAGATGTCCTATTTATAGCAGAGCTAGTAAAGTGTATTTGTGGGTAATTATGTTCTGCTGGTTTGTGTGAAACTTAAGTCATGCCCCATCATGATGCGCCCCCACCTCTTCCTCTGGAGCTCAGTTTTGTTTTTGTTTTTGTCTCTCGCTTGAAAGGAGGGAATCAGCGCTGACAGGGGGGAAGCCTGCTTGACGTGACGGATGAGAGAACCTGTTTGCTGGAACGGAGACTGGATGTGCGGGAGCAGCTTTTACCCCCATCTCCAGCACAATGCGGCGTAACCGTCCCGCATCCGCAGACAGCCGTGTCTGACGGGCCTGACAACAACAGAAAAGGTGTGGAATCGCAATTGTGAGGGGTGATTCTTCCACCGCTTCGTGGTGTCTGTGCCCAAGTCAGAGGGTGGCATGAGTGTGTGTGACTTCGGAAAGCATGCGAGAAAGATTGCGCGTCGCTACGCATGTGTTTTACCACAGAAGCTGCTCTCCCACTGAGCTCCAGTGAATACAAACGACATTTAGCGGCCTCTTTGGCCACTCTCCATGCTGTTAGGGGAAACCCCCTTCACTTACACAGCACACACACACACACACACACACACACAGGATGTACAGCCTCCATGAAGAAGCATTGATATGTCATGCTGAGGCATTAAATGGGAAGATAGTGGTTAGCAATCAGACCAATTGTTGGTTTTTACAGACAGAGCTCCTTGACAGACTAAAGCTTTGCTCTGGTTTTCATATTTCTGTGTCTTTGAATTCCTTCACATTCCAGAGGATCAGTGTTAGGAAGCTCTGTGTCCTGCCAGCTGTGAGCAGATTTAAAGCATCTGCCCCTGGCTCCTCCATACCTTCACATCAACTGTAGCTGCTCCACTTGTAAACATCGAGTCAGATAACTTGCCGACTTGATAGCTAGCTGTCTAGCTATGAAGTAAGCTAGCTATCTGAGACATCGAGTCAACTCAGCTAGCTAGCTGATTGGATAGCTGGCAAGCCAGTCAGTTAGCTACCCGACTCGATAAGTGGATCAGCTACACCAACTACCTGTACAGTACAACTACTGTAGCTAGTTAACACCAGTGGTGGAGAAAGTACTCAAAAAATTTACTTAAGTAAA